CCACCCTATCGTTGCCACCAAGCAAGAGCCGGCTCAAGATGGCTGCTAGTGCAGTGACACTAATTAGCTTTCTCGTCACCTTTCAGGCTATGCTCCTGTGACTGTAATCACCTATCTGGACAAGCTGCAAGACAATGAAGACAAAGACGAAGCTTTTTACCAGGCTTCTTGGGCGACCGGTAGCTCCAGTGAGAAGACCTACTTCATTGCAAATTACACGCACGCAAAAGATAAGCAGTCTAATGCTGTGGATCGAGCAGCCCTTGACATCTTGGATTCTGTTCTGTTGTCTGCCGAGAGGTTTATTGGAATCCGTAAACAGCGGGAGAAAAATAAGATGGAGAGAGAAATCACAGTTGAAGGTAACGACATGTATATTTTAAGCTTACCTTGCCGAAGAAAAATTTGGCAAAACGAAATGGATTATTCATCCGTGCGATTATATGAACAAAATTAATCGCGCGTCCGGTTTTTGTTCGTCGTGACTTAGCTTTTTCAAAACTGCATTTAAAAAACGCTCTAGAGGGCTGTACACGATGGCACCAGCGGGGTCGGTTCTGCAGGATACGAGCAGAAAGAAGAGAGGAACAATTAATGAAAATAAACGAGAAAGGGCGGCGGTCATGTGATGAAATGGTTATAGATTGAGTTTGGTCCGGCCGGACGGAAAAATGGTTGGTTCTCTCATTAGGTGAGGGGCCTGTGCATCCTCAATTTAGAGGACGTATTATAGATATGATACTCGATTTTCTCTCTTGACTGCGAGGTCTTATGTGAGTTTTCGTGTAACGTCTACGGCATCGGCAAACAGCGAAAACGGAATCTAATTTTGCTCGCTGTTCCTCAATCCTCGTTCACTTTTAATTCACTCACTTTTATTTCAGTGTACAAACGGAACGTGTACAAACGTTAAATCCCAGATCTCCATTTTGCAGTTTGCCTTACCCGTCAATTTAAATTGCTACGAACACTGGCTCCTTGTTTTTCCGTCATCAAGAACCATCCTTTTGTGGGGAGACCATTGAGCAGTTCTTAGTCCGTCTGCAGCTTAAGCACCACTGGTCTGGTCAGGGTAAGATGAAAACTTTAAAGGAACACTTGAAGCAAGAAGAGATCAACACTCTTAAGGTGCTGAAGGAAATGTGGGAAGACATCAAATCCAGTCTGCCACTGTCGCTTGGAATGAAGATAGTCTTGGAAGAAGAGATGCAGCGCTTGTGAAGTGGTGCTCTTCACAAAATATAAATATCTTTCAAGTAGAAAACAATTAATTGATCTAGTTTTGATAGGTTGCCAAAAGGCCTGCCTCTGGTTGTTCAAAGGGCGGATAACTCTATCCAACGGATAAATCACTATCCAGCGGATAAGTGTTACCAAAACGTAGTGCGCTATCCACCGGATAGAGATTTATCCAGTGTATAGCGTTTTCCATCCTTCGAACAACCGGGGCCTGGAGACCAGATTTGTGATCGCAGTTGCTCTCAAAGAAATGTCCACTGAATTTTAGATACTTGACAAAAACGTAACCTTTCTCCCAGCATGCTTTACTCTACGGAAAAGCGACATCTTTTTAATATTAGTTTCGTCGAATTTTATTTAGAATAGTCCATAAATGTCAAGTTAGTTTAAGAGTAGGCCTGGAAAGGAAGGGTAAGATTTTCTGCTTATCAAAGAATTAGCTTTATGAAATAAACACGAGTGTTTTTAAAGGAGAACCCTCAGAGTCAAAACAGGGTTAGAATGAAAATTTGATCCTTGTGAACTCGCTATTTCACGGATTTCAAAATATCGGGATATTAGAAAGCTACCTTGGGGTTACTGTTTTCTTTTTGTTTTGTTTGTTTACTCCGCTTATTTTAGGTTTATGGCAATGATGTATTCGATAAACGTTAAATTAAACGTTAAAAAATGACCAGCAGACTAGCATCTAATTTCTCCTTATAATATCACTCCAGAATTCGCACATCTATGTCATGGGAATAAAGGAAATGATCACCAATTAAAGAAAGTCTTTATTGCTATACAAACTCCCATTGTCAGCATCCTAAGAAATGCTTAGAGAACAGTATGGGGAATATGCATAACGATGTTTGGGTGTAAAGGGTTCGAGAGAAACCTGATTGATTTACATTTGCGCAATTATAACATCTACATCGTCCTCCAAGTCTTTGACCATCATACTAGCCGTTCCACTATTTTCCAGACCAACGTCTGTTTTTTTTAATTCTTCTCTGCAAATCCACTGAGTCGTTCTCATTATTTGTGGTTCCGACATCTTCAACTCCAACA